AGGTTGGGAAAGGGAAGAAGTGCGAAAGATTCGGAAGATTTCTGCGCTTTGAGAATTTCGTTCGAACAAATTATGTTTCTTGGAGGTCTCTTCGCCACGCGGACCTTTAAGTGAGCGCCTGAGCGGCGAGTGGGCCTCGGCCGTCCACTACTCGCATCGGTGAGTGAGTTTTCTGTTCGTTTCGCTCGCAACAAAAGTTGATTACCGCAAGCGATGCTTCGTTTTCCTGAACTCGTGAGCTCCAGTCGATTTCTCCGTTCCGAGCTGGTGGAGCTCATGGCAATGTTGTTTTGCTCGCCGCGAATCTACGACGTTTTCTATGAGCAGACTCGTCCAGTGGTCCGGTTTCGCTTCAGTAGACAGCTCCCGGCTTGTCTTGGCGGCATGCCGCTTGCGGGAGCTTCGTGCGAGGCACTCCGGTCACTTAGATGCACCATAGAGGAAAAAAGGCATCGAGTGAAGCACCTTGTTCTAGTTCGAGTGCTAGCGCAGAAAGAGCCTTTCCACTCGTGATCACTGTTCTCTCCATCAGAGCACAGAATCGGGTGGCCATTGATCGGTAGCGATGGCGGCGACCAGCATTGTTGGTTGTCCTCTCGAAGAGCTTGGCCGATCTAGTTCCCCGCTCACTCACTAATCTGTCGCGAGCGGGCACATGGCCTGGCAATCACCGCCCGTTCCTTTTCGCGGTCTCGTCGTAGATTTCCGCGACTATACTGAAGCAAGACTAGATATGCACCGACAGTCGACCTCTTCCAGCCAGCTCCGAGTCTGGATTCCCTCATCCAAAATTCAATGGCACCTCCTCGCTGCCAATCGGGTCTCCTTGCTGAGGTGACTCCGGAAATCTCGACCTGGAGGAGAGCTCTTATTTTGATTCTCGCGGCGGCACAACCTCTACGACGAAAAAGTCGAGTAGAGATCCAATGGAGTCGCTTCCCAAAGCTTTGAAAAAATGCGCGAGGGAACTCACGGTTCGGATTTCGTTGACGATAATTGCGAGGGAGCTTCAGTCATTATCATGGCCGCTCAGCGATGCGAACTCCATCCGACACCGTGTCGATAATTGAAGGCGAGCCTTGATGATCCGGCCGTTTTCCCGGATCGATGCGAATGGGACCACACGAGGACACTTTTGTTTATCCTTTTCGTTCTTTGACTCTTCGCGATACGGACTCCCACAGTTGAGATGAGTACAAAGCTTTCTCCGTGGCGCTCTTGCATAATTCACAACTCATGGCCCCCGGAGCGGTCACCAAACGAGTCGTTACAAGAGTGCTCCATACAGCTCGTGGGAGAGTGAGTGAACGAACGATCCGACGACGGGCAGACCGACCACCGACCGAATGAACGAACGGAGGAGCGACCAAGCAGATATACGGACCAACAAGACAGGATCAGCCCTCAGATCTGAAAATCGTCCTTAGACCGTGTGAGACTGCCTCGGCACTCGGTCAACGCATATTCTTGACGCAGACCGGATCCGATTCCTTGTCGAGTCTGCAGACCAGGCTCAGAGCGCTGCTAGAAGCGAGCATTAGTTTCCTTAGCCTTGTTCGCACCTCGAGCCCTCTCGTCCTCCAAATCTTCAGTCAGTCCGGGGAGAAGAGGGAGATCGCTGGTCGTCGTGAATACTTCCCATCACTCAGAAGATTTTTCCCCACAGTAAAAACTAAATCCGTATAGGTCGTTGGGAGTGTTCCTCGTGCGGATGCTTCCCCCTCGCGCGCGCGGAATGAATCACTCCCCCGTAAGCTTCTCTCCGAAGCTGCTTGATGAATTCGGGCTTTCGAAGAAATTAGTTTCTTCTCCGAACTTTCTGCGACTCCTTGAACCGGACCCTCGATTGTTGCTCGAAATTCTCGAATACGTTCTGAGACGAGGAGCTCGTATCGTCTTCTCAGCCATCTCCGTCGGATTGGATCGACATCCTCATTGGGGATTCCACTAAGAAGCTCCCGGGCGGAGCGCGGTTCCATTGTTAGGTAGTATCTGTGAAAGTAAGGACTTGTATCATTCGACGGAACAACTCTCATCCTGAGCTGTCTTCGGAAATGGGGTGATTGAAATTCTGACGGTCTGTAACTTACTAGCTCTTCGGAGAATACTTTCGTGGAGTGCTGACAGTGCAAAGGAGGGAGTCGATGACCACACGGGCAAGTTACGACCTCACCCTTCGCGACGAGCTTTAAACCTTGAGCAACCTTCGGCTCTCCTGTGTTTTTATAGCGAGAAGGACGAGCAGAAACGAGCGAAAACAACACACGGGTTCAACGACTAAATCGATTCCTGAATTGGACCGGCAACGAACATTAAGCAAAGAGGGACAACAGGATAACGACTTTAGGTGATCGTCTGAAACAGCAGGTTTCGAGTTTGTGTCAGACGATATCATTGGAAGCGGCTCCACTTCGGCCTCGCAACTGCCGTGATCTCTCTCCAAGCCATTCCAGTAGAACCTCGGGAAGGAATCAGCTTACCGAGTCAGGCTTCCGATTATTCAGGATATTCTGATGCGCACTCCTCTCCGTAGACACCAGATAGCGATCAGAAAGACAAGAACTTCCGGCTGTCATGAGTTCATGAGTCAATCGAAGAATATCCCCCTGTACAGTATAACCTATTCAAATGATGAAACCCACTCAGACATATCGAAAGCTCAAAGCCCATACACTGAAAGCGCTATTTCTTTTCGTCCGCACGTCCGACCGGAACAGGCCTACTCCGCTCGGGGGTATCATTAAATGGGGTCGGCGGCTCAAACCCCGCCTTTCGAGAGGACGATGTTCGCGGAGACGACACGGAATGCCTTCGGTAACCGATACATGGCACGTTGAGCGGAGCCAGTTTTTTCGGGTGAAGAATTCCGCTTGACGAAATATTCTACGAGCGATATCACGCGACCATCGTCAGATGCCGACGGAACTGTTCAAAGCACTTCGCGAGCCAGGTGCACACTGTCACCAAAAGGACAATTCGCACATCCGTAGCATACATCCAGTGCTTAGCTTCATCGACGATCACTGCCCGAAAATAGACACAACGGCTTCGCCACCATACAGATATTGAATGATCCTCACATCCCTTGACGATCGGTCCCCGATCATTCGACGGTTGAGAGGCCGTCGGCACAGTACGCGCTCACGAAATGACCTCCAACGAGAACAACAGTCGGAACCGAAGTTATCGCGCAGCGGATGATATCGATATAGATATCATACATCGTTGCGCACCTTCCTCACAAGGTTTTTCGCTCTTCGAGCGACGGAATCGAACTCCATTTTCCCCCTACGTCTTCAGAATCACGCCCAAGAGAAACGGTCGCGGCCAGACGCCGGCGCCGGTCTTGAAACAAAAGTTTTCGGGAGGGCTGGGCTCTCTGCTCATGGGCTTGTTCTAGAGGCGCGTGCCATGAATGCGCTTGTTCCGGATGCGCTACGTCTAACTGAGCTGGCTGTCGGTGTACATCCCATTGCTTTCCCTTCTACCCTTATCGATAATTTGCCGCCTTCAAGCCGCTCTTTTCTCCCCGTCTTCACAACGTTCCTCGATACCCCGGCTGCCTGTTTCACCCCACTACACCCTATCCCGTTTTCCCGGTTCCTCGGTCCAGCTCTCTCTCACCTTGCCCCGTGTCCCTGTTCCCCAAATTTCCAGTTTTCCGACTCCCTTGGTTGCCGTTTCCCTGCTCCCCGTTTCTTGCTCCCTTTTCCCGCTCCGCGCTCCCTCACCTCCCGGTTGTAATGAACCCTGGAAATGTATAATCTATGCCCCACTACTCTTGTTTCCCGCTTTCTCATTCTTCCATATTCATTCCATATATGTAGCCTGGAAATCTATAGTGTCTATCTACGGCTCCAACAACCCCCCTATTCGAGACTCATAGGAGACATCATTGCATGATTATGGCGAGCCTTGATGGCCTTCCTAAAACCCCCCGAGAATCCCATCCCGAAGTTCATTATTCATCGGTTCAGGTCCCGAGATATTTTGCCGATTCCCGTTCTCCCTCGAAAATTACGATCTCCGGTGAGTGGAGCACTCGAATATTGTTTTCAAGGGGAAAAGACCCATCGCATGAGAACGACGACTCACTGATCACTTTCCGACAGCTCCCGAGGACCCCCGCCCCACCGAACTGAATTTTTCAGATCAGCCGTTCAGGAGTCTATGGGCAACACACGTCAGAGAGAAACACTTTTTCGAATTTATATCGATGGAAATAAATATTCACATATCTGCCTCGATTCTCGTAATCGTTGCCATGGACACCGATTACTCTTCCTCTTCAAGGACGACTTCGGATTCCGGGTGCTGGGTCCTGTTCGATATCGGTATTGTGTTTATAAGCATATTCATGAGCCTATCGGATACTCAGCTCCAATCTATCATCCGCGGAGGAGCCGAGATATTCTGAGCGCCACCATCTGCTCGCATTCGACAGGTTGAGACTCTCCGCCTCCGGACGTTGCCTCGTGGGGCTTCTGACGAGCCTCTCTTGTACCGACCGCTGATACGAAATACGGAAAGTTTTCATCGAATTTGCTTCGTATTCGTGTTGGCCCTCGTCATAGACCGAGTCGGGACCGGGTATCTCCTCCTCCGGCGACATTCTCCGGCCAAAAGTCAGCTTGACTAGCTGTCGGATTCAATAAGCCGGTAGATTCAAATCTTGTGATCTGATGAACCGAAATAGAACGTAGCAGAGGATTCGGATGCACTCACCAATAAGGCAGTCAGGAATATTCGAAGAGCACTAAGATATGAGTCAGACTGATGCTACGATTTGATTTTTGAGTAGGACGAATCTCCGGAAACGAATGAGCCCGCTCGACCATCAAAATAGTGCAATGGGATTGCAGCAGCTCGTCGCAAGGTGCATCTGTGGGAATAATGCCCGGCATCTCCTCCGGCCGTGCTCTGTATGGATGAATCTGAGCACCTTCAGTATAATTGACAAGATTGTCAGCCTTCGGGAATGGACAGGCGGCCATGAGACCCTACGCCCTGCGCATCCTGCGGGTCACAAAGTTTTCCGTCGGATCATCGATCCAGAGGAGCCTCATAAGAGGAATGCAGAGTAGAACAAGAGCGGATGCGATAGCACCAATGACAAACGCTCGCCAAGGTCGCACGATCGGGGCTCCTCCACATATAGCCCCCCATCATCCCATTACCGACTTGTCCAGCCGTGTGACGTCATGCAGGCGACGTTTGAGCACAGAACTATGATTCATAATGGAATGGTGAGCAGAGGAGGATCTTCGGAGGTCCAGATCATAGTTGGGGACAGCGAAAAATTTCCGAAAGAGTCTCATCTGAGTCCCCGCCCCACAAATCCACTGCTCATCGGAGCCAAACTAGTGGTCACGGGCGCCTTGGGAATACCAGTCTACGAGCCTGATCTCCCCCTGAGAATGCATGCCCTTATGTTCGTTCCCACTCCGAATGCATCGGACACTCTTATCAAGAGGAATCAACATATGAAGCTCTAGATCGAATCAAAAGTTTTCCCGGGAATGAGCCGCAGAGCCGTGATTTGTCCCGGATGACCACAAACCTTGCGGAGTAATTCCATTCATTGAGAACTGCACCCCAGGTGGGACAGGCACTGGAGCCGAGCAGTGTCCACCAGAGCATGAACATCTCCAAGGGGCGTTCGTAGAATTTCGTAGAGGGGTTCCAGAGAAATCGAATCCGTATCGTCCCGGTCGAGGTCCGAGTACAATTGACCCTATGAGAGCCGTCTTGGCACCGCACCACCAAGATTAACCACACCAGTGGAGAAAACAGTTGGCATCCACCGTGCTCGATACATTGATCCCCATCTGCATATTCCTGAAACGTCGCGAGTCAAACTCGAGAATCAGTTTTCGAGCCATAAATCACGTCGAGTATTACCCGATCTTCCAATATCAACAGCGCCAATTTTATTCAACCAGTCGCGGCTTCCACGGCCATGCGGCCGGTACGCAATAAATCAAAGTCGCGGGAACGATGGAGATAATATACGATATGAATTGGCAGCGTTCTGGCATTGCGCCCGAGATTAAAGTTGTCGACTCGGTGCAGTGAGCCAACCGCGGGACGAGACACAATGTTTGTTGAACACAAGTTAGCCGCTATCCCGACAAGTCATTCAGAGCAAAGCATTTTTTCCGCATCATTGGTCCCGCACGCGGGGCCATTCACCTGGAACACAAACCTCGAGTATAGGATTCCCATCACGCGATCGATGGCTACTTCGGATAGGTCTCCGAAAGTGGAGGAGGGATTAGCCATGTAATCGAAACTCAGTCTATATCCGAATATCCAGAATCTCGAACCATCGATCAGAATTGTCGTCGCGTTCTTCACCATGATCTTGACCTCCTCTTTCCTTGACACGAAACCGTACCTAAATATTACATGGCCATGGGAGAATCGGTGGAAAGATCCATTTTGAGGCGAATAATTTCGAGAGGAAGCTGCGCTATAAAAAGATCTCGAGGGATTAGTCTCGATAATCTGCTATCACGGAGGGTTATTTCTCGAGCTCGACCGCGGGAGACAAAGACATAATAATTTTTCGTCAACGTCCGGGGTGTCTGTGGGAGAAGGGAGCGAAACCAATAAGTATTCGCGCTGGAGGAGAAAACAATCATCGATAACGATTCCGTTTTTTGACCGCTGCCTCGATTTTCAATATCCTTCGCGTATCGGCGGGGAGCTGAGCCCAGCCGGAGCCCGATAATGATCAATCCGGGAACTTCTCGGAACGGACTGATAGTCGTTCCTTGAGCGGACATGAGCCACAGGATTCCCTGGCGCCCCTATCGTAGATAGTCTCCATTTATTGGACACCGTGGTGATGATCAGGGAAGCAGATGTTACCACCTACACTGCGTCTTTGGCCTCCTCTCGTTGTCCCAAACGCTAGCGCACATGTCGTCCGTCGGCCACATTTCCGTTCTCCTGAGTTCCTCCATGTACTTCCTTCGTTTCAGAACTACTCTCTCGGAAGCACAAAAGGAGATCGTATACACAAGGGAATGACTTCTCCGGGCGTCGAAACAGACAACAAGTATGAGATGAGCGGTCCTGTTGCTACGCGAGTCGCCTCTTTTCTTGGAAGAGAGACGACTCGCGGGAGTTGTCTCCATCTGGGTTCAATTGAATATCAAAGAATCCTTCGATCTGGAGGAACGCCGTAGGGAGAAATTGGAAAAACGTAGAATTAATCCACTGATGGATCTTAAATGGAGGGACGCGCGGAGCGCTCATGGACTGCTTCTTTCGACTCTCTGCTTGCTCGCATACGGAACAGCGAACTGTTAAGCCTGTGAGTCAACCCCGGAGCTACGAGCCTTCATTAGCCTCAAATGAACGTATCGACCCGTCCAGAAACAAGTCCCCGTTCAGTCTGTTAAGTGCATTATATCCGAGGCTCACACGACGCGTTGATGTGAAGTATATTCGAGCCTAAGCTCTCGCAAGGACTTATTCGGCGTTTTTGGACACCGTGCAGAGGAGACCGCTACAAAAAACCATCTGTCTTCGTTCTTCGGCTGCGCCGCGCCTCCGCTGCCGTCAGTGTGACGCAGCGGAGTATCTCTCATCTTCGTCGATGGTCCTCGCGAATATGGCCGCTCCGATCTCCATTTTCGATCGCGTTCGCTCCGTCGGATTCGAATTCAGTTTTTACGCTAGTGCTCGCGAGACATGCGGAGCTCTTCGTCGAATGCCCTTCCGTCGGCTTCCCGTCAATCAAGACATCCGCCACCCGCCACGAAGAGCTTGGAAAATGCTCCACCAAACGGCAACGAATCGTCATTGGGTTGGGGAGAGGCAAGAAAAAACGAGGAATTTATATCATGCAGTCTGAGAACGGATTCGATAATTGTCCACGCAGAATGTTTAAGCCGAAGTGCCCACTAGTAAACCGGTATGGGTACTCCTGCATCTCCCCACGGACACGAGCGAACGATGCCGTGGATCTTGATCACGCACGCTCATTTGTTCAATTCGTTCCCTTGTTCCCGAGTACCCTTATTTTAAGGACGTGCTCACGACATGGCCCTTCCGTGTTCATTACTCAGCTTTCCGTCGGAAGGGCAAACAACGCTTCGCAATCGGAATTCGATAGAATTTCGCGTTTCGCCCCATTGAGGAGTTCCCGTCAGGAAGGCTCTTGATTTTCCCGATCTAGAATTCGTCAGTTCCTCCAATATTCATCATTTCATTCATATGTTGTATCTGGAACGCAGGCATAGGTTCCGAAATCCGAGTCGCAGCTCGCAATCGATTCGGTTTACTTATTGATTTCTGTTTCGCACTCATGTCGCATCGGTGGGTACCTCAGCGCCGGGCGAGTTCTGCTTGCAAGCGCCGTGACGCCGCGGCCGCCACGATGGCTCTCCTGGCCCTTGCGATTGAGTGATCCGCTGAGACCACAGTCATTCATCAATTGAATCAGTCGCATTCGCAGCATTCATGATTCTTCCGGAGTCACAATCGAAGCCCCGGATTAACTCCGGCTGCGAGCGGCAGCCGACGACGCTGAGCATTTTAAGTTGTTCCGCGACACAGTCGATGAGCGCTGTAATATGTGATCCCGTGCAGTCACAGGAGCGGCGTCGTAAACCCTGAACATCGATTGTTCGTTTTCCGTCGCTGCGTTTGCCCTCTGGGGCTCAGAGCGCGAAAGGCAATAATCCTGTTGTTGGAAAAACAGTTTTCGATGCCCTCAGTCTGGCAGACGCGGCTGTTTCCCTCCATGACTGCAGTTTGGCAGCAACAATGGCAACCGTCCGAGAACATTTCTCAATGAGAATACGGGTGAGCGAGGACGTCCTATCGATCAACCGGGAGCCATGAGAGTCCAGGAGTAGCGGAAATGACTGCGTCCAGAATCGGGAAAAAGCACCTCATGAGAGTTGTTCAAATATGTACTTCCTTTTGTAGTTCTCGTTCACCAGCCGGAAGAGAATATTGTAATCTCGTCTGTAGTAGAGAAGACTAATAGTCGTCATTACATCGAAAAAAAACTCGAAGCTCGTCGGGATTGTCCGACGAGTGAGTGGACGAGCCCTTTCTGTCGGAGAACATCGTGAGTCGATCGGGATACTACTTCGAGCCTCCATTATTGATTCCGGAAATCTCGAACGACTCCGCATCAGCGCTCGAAGAACAGATCGTTCCCCTCGTAAAATTCAACGTAGTTTATGCAGATCGGGAACGCCATCCGCGCGGACGGTGAGCCTGTACAAAGAAAACACTAAAAACTCGATCCCGGATTTTTTAGGGTGGAAGTGTGGAAGACAGGGTCGCCCAGCCGATCCTCCTCCCCTTCCGCCCTCCGGCTCAGGGGTCAGGCATGCCGGCCCGCCGAGCGGCTGCGTCGACGAGTTAATGGAGCCGGTGCGGTGCTTGCGCTCAAAGAGGTGCCAAGAATCGTCTGCCGGCAATTTAGGTGGAGCCCTTGAGCGACTTTCTATTGTATCCGTGTTCAAGACGCTGTATTCGAAGCTTCTGCTTACCTAATGGTCTGTCGTCAAGCCCGCTCAGCACACATCGTGGACGCACTATCTGTCGCCTAACTGTCTGCTTCCGTGCGATGGATTGTTTTGATATGCGATCTCGCGAGACCGGCGCACTTCACTCATCTCTCAGCGGAAGGAGAACCATTCGAGATTTGTAGCGTTCCAACGCACACTCGCTAGGCAAGGGAAACCAGAGATATTGTTCACGTGGATGTGCGGCACTTGACGGAACGCATAGAAAGACCCGGTTCAGAAAGAAGATGCGGGATCGAATGTTTGCTCCCTCCCACTTAAGGTGACCCTTGCTCCGCTGCTCGCCGGCGAGTCCGCTGAGCATCAGTACACGTCTAGTTGTCTACTACAGGAAGCATGCCCGTCTTCATTGCTCGGTGCAAACAGCGCCGCTGATCCGGGCAAACAGAGGAGGTTTTCCACCCTTGACGACTCGAGTCGGAGCGCCTGCAGATGCTGGCGATTGAGAACTCGTCTTGTTTGCTCATCCACGCGTTCGTTGCCTGTGGGACCTCCCGAGAGCCTTTAATTCTTAGAAAAATTAAAACCCAGGCCCTCGTGGCTTGTATGCGATGATTGCAGGGACCCGCAGTTCCCGAACCCATGACCCGGAGTTCGGGCTCCTTCCCGTCCTCAAGCCTCTTCCGGGAAGATTGCTTCGTCATCAGTCATCAGGATATGAGGGGATGAGGGGCTCCTGACGATCCTCTCGTTTGTTTCAATAACGAGAGTGGTCAGAAGCGGTTCCTCAATTGAGTGACGTCGCTTCAGATGTCCGGCGTCCTCCCGCGCGGGGAAGTGCTATTTAATCGCAGCGCTGTTCCGCCTGACGCTCCCCAGAGCATCCACGACGAGACTTCTGGAGGAAAGCTCACGGAATCCAAACAAGTCTTTTGTTCGCTTGACTCAGTAGTTCTTTTTATTGGGCGGGTCTCCCTTCTCTTTCTTCTTCCATGGCAGCCCTTTTGTCTCTGTTGTAAGCTTTGTGCACTATCATTCGTCATCCTCCACCGTCGACGGAGCCCCCTCCGCTGCTTCGGGCGTAGATTTCCGAAACTTCGAGGAGAAATTCGAAATACCTTCGAGATTTTCCCCCGAAAGTTATCTCGATCGAAGGTGAGATCATGGACTTGACCATTAGGGAATTATTCACGTCCGCACCGATTCTTCTCTTTGCAACCTTTCCGTCTGGGTCGTGCCAACTATGTGCGCACGTCGCGGTTTGAACTCGGAGCGAGTTTCTGAAGCTGAATTTCAGACGGCGACGACGACGGAGTAGTCGTTGAGCCCGCTGCAGTGCAGAGATTATGCCACCCGCGAACTTTAAGAAAATGCACTCATTGTCAAACTAGGCAACGTTCAACACGTATTGAATGGTTTATTCAAAGAATCCCGCTCAGAGCCTCAGCGCTAGAAAGTTCAGCAAGTTGCAGTGTCTGCGAGGTTCTCTGGAGTTCAAACAACTGATTGAATAAACTCGCGGGAGAAGGTGATGATGGAAATGAACTCGAGAGAATTACCGCTCTGGAGGTGATGAACTTCCCGACGGGACATGCATCCCAGCATGCATATGTGCCCAGTGTTCAGTCATCTAGGATGCGATAGCGGACTGCGACGAGACTTCCGTGCGGCCCAGGCGGTCTTAACGTCACGTACAGATTCAAGATTTTCGAGGCTTCAGCGACGTCGCGACGTCTCGAGACGTCTCTGGCTCGCAGCCGGCGAAAGGACCAGCATCCGAGAAATCGACCTCTCGGGGAGCCGTCCGACGACCGTAACCAAGGACGTATAGCAAAACAAGCAATCGCGCTGGCCTTGCTTACGAGGAGGAAGATGCTCTCTCCGTTCGACCGCACGCAGCGGTGAGGTATGACGATGACGAAACGAAGACGACTGGTTCTGGTGAACTAGGTGACCATCTCATTTACCAGCACGCCGAGGAACAGATACCTTATGATTTCGTGCACGATTCGGCGTTTTCGTTGCATCCACAGCGCGCTGCGGCATCTCGAGGTCGAGATATCTTGGTTTCACTAGAATGCCGTGGGGAACCCCCTCGATTGCGCTAATCTGAGGGGCAAAGACGCATCAAAAAATATGCCCCCGAGACGCCCGTTCCCGCTATCACATTCCGAGATTCTCCCACTGGGATTCTCCCGGCCGAGAGAGCTAAGGAAAATAGAAGTCCTGACTTGGGCGCCGACAAGTTCACTGCTTGCGATCGGAACCAGGAGCAGGAATGGTATTATTCCGTTAATCTACGCCGAACCGACGGACGACCGTACCGGCGAGGAAAAAACGGGCGGAGCACGCTATTAGCGCTTGCAGTGCGTTACTACCGCGCGTACCGCCAATCAACGAAATGAAGGAAGCGAATAAATTCTTCTCGCTCAGATCTCGATTGAGAGGGAGCCCGGGGCCTCAGCACTGGCGGCTCGTCTGCCTGTTTGCCCTCCTGGTAGCTGTCGATGGCGACGGCAACGACCTAGATTCACAAGTTCGAAGAGACTGACAATCGCAGAGTAAATGGCCAGGTCGGCAGTTCAATGGCACTCAGCTCGACATCTCATCCGACATTCGCACTCTCTTCATTGAGCTTCCCTCTTTGATCAGTATGCACTGGAGCGTGGCTTCAGCAGAGCGGTCACGAGACGGCGAGAATTCGCATTTTTTGTAGAGTAAGGGAAGGAGTCGGCGACGGTTACGGAGGCAGACGAGCTGCCGAGCGAGTTGTGCTGAGAAATCTCGAAACAAGCTCTGAGCGAGAACAAACTTTTCCATGTTCAATTAATCAACAGAACGGAAGTGCGCGAACGCTTGCGACCTCATCCCCTCATCTTCCCCGCTATCCCTTCGTCCCGTCCCCCTCGCTCGATGCTCCCAAGCTTCACTTCACGATTCTCTTTCTGCTCGCGGTCCCCTCATGTTCGTCCACAAGCCCACTCGGCCTCACCATCCCAGAACGTGAGATGTGGCGACTGAAGTCTTCGAGAAGGCTTTCCGCTCCCTCGCTCTCTCTCTCGCGCTCAGTGCCGTCTCCTTCACGGGTCCTCTTATTCGCCTTCCAAAGAGCTTGCTTTACTTCGGTAAGCCGCTTTCTTAACGAAATCAACGCTCAAGTCTGTTGGTTCGTCCGTCAGTCCATCTGGCAGCTCGACTGTCCTCCCTTCGGTCGGGTCTTCCGTTCGACGACCTTGAATGCTCTCCCTGACGCTCAGGAGGCTTGACGTCTGACGTAGAAGAGCACTGAGCCCCTCTGAGTGAGCTGGGGAACTAGCACCCCGCCGTCCATACCTTGTTTCTCCTCTTGTTTTTTTCCCGAGCTACACATCCGATGCGGTGCAGTAATATTATTTTCTTTCCGAGTACTTTCCGCGGGCGAAATCAGAGCGGACACTTACATACATGTCTGGAACGCTTGCGACAGGACATCTCAGGAGGTGCGCTCCTTAGCTGAGCAGAATTAGTCGCAGCAGGTTGACTGCTGCTCGTTTCCCATTAGAGTTTCTGCCTCCGTTTTCACCTTTGGTGGCAGCGGCTCCTGGTGCTCGAGGAGCGATGGATCCAAGTTGGACGAGGCGGCGACAAACCAGGTAAGTTCATCTGGTTTGCCTCTCACGTCGTTTCCTTCTGCTTTCATTCCGTGCGCTGTCTCTGTTCCTCGCCTATCCACGTGTCGGGACGGCTGTAAGTCTCAGCCCATAGGCGCGTACGACATCCGGTCAAATATACTACATGTGATTATCCGCAGGAATAATTGTGGAAGGGCCGATATTCGGATGTTGGCATAATAACCTCCCATGACGAGTCACCTGAAGCAGATTTTGATCCATCTGTAGCGAAAGATATTTTTCCGGCTCCAGCGGAGTCGGATACTGAAATGGCTCTAAATGCCCGAAGATTTCGTCTCACTGCTTATTGCAGAGGATATCAGACACCGAGCTACCCTCACAGGGATAAGTCACGATGATGGGAGGTGGATAGAAAGACCGGAAGATTCTTTCTGGATGATTCTTTCCATGGAGAAGAAATGAGCAAAAAACACCATTGTTGGAAAATACTTCAGTGTATCGTTTGTTTTATTCGTTCCTCTATCGGCCAGATGACCGTTTCGTTGTTGAATCTTCAACTCTCAGCCCATAAACCCTTCGATGAGGGTATCATCCATTGTTATATTCATCTTCATCAATAGGAATATGTGTGATCATAAAATACAAAGTGGAGATTTCCTGGAGTTACAATACAACAGAGTCACTTCTATCGTCCTGAGTTCCTGGAGCCGGCATAATGCGCCGCGCAAACGATGCAGGACAGCGATATCGGTATCCGTTTCTCTGTACCGATGAGAAAGCTGCGGCGCTCCCCTTGACGTCTTCTCCCCCGCAACAGGATCTTAAATTTTCATTTCTACATCGCCTAGTATTTTTCACACACTAAGACACGGTAAAGGAATTCGTTGTCGAATCTAGAGGGGGGGACATATAGTGTACCCGATCGGTCGCAGGATATCCCACGCAGACATCCCGTGGAATAATACGATCCAGCAGCATCATCATCGAGAGGCTCCGTGGAGTAGATCAAGGACGGACTTCTTCGCCAATCAACTGAAACATATCTCGGGGGATACCCGGGCCCCAACGTGAATAGGGAACTTTCCGCCCGTTCGGCTGCTCGCACCTTTCGGAAAAAACGTAATTCTCCTCTCCCTAGTAATACAACAAAGTATCTTGACAAAACCATGTGAGATTCGCTATATTCGACGCAATAGGACAACAATATTTGGCTCATCATGCTCGTGCTGGTGGTTTCCGTCTGTCTTCACTTGACGTCTTCGAAACCGACTCCGCCACGATTCTTGTTCAAGTTCCCCGCCCGAGCGAGAAACTCAAAGTTCGGTACTCCCGCTGCGATTGTTCGCGTCTTTGTCCGGCTCGTGAAGTTTCGTATCGTGTCAAAATCCAACAATCCCCTCGTGCGACGAAAGATCGACTCTCTCCGTCTAGGAAATGCGCCAGTCCTTTTTCCTTCCTCCCACGCATCACGAGGTCAGGATGGGAGATGAACCCCGTATACTCTACTCCTGCAGTGTACAGCGATGGATGTCGTCATCCTCCGTTAAGGTCTCGATTGATATGTTTGCAAGTTCCGCAACTTCTCAACAGACTGGAGGGAGCAGTTTTGGGATAAACATCATCGTATCCCCTATATACAGAATATCGGGACCAAGTTTACATGGTGACTTGAAGGTTTGTGTGAACTTCCTCTGCCCTCGTCCTTAGAGGGGTTCCGCGCTCGATCTCTGCCGTCGTCACCGTTGTCGCCACTGCTGCGAACATCGTGACGGCCGATAGCCGCATGCGGCGGCGGCGGTGGCATCCGTCGCTCAGAGGATGGTCTCAACGACTCGCAGATGCTGGAAGTGAGTCGTGCGTTGTTTGCTCCTAATGGGGCTTGATGAGTGAGTCCTGGAACCCCTCCTCCGGGGGGCGCATACTCATTGCTGCTGTTCCAGATTCAGCTGCTCCATCTGCTCAACTGCAGAGGCCGTTCGAAGATCTCCGTTGCTCGGTAGCAGACTCGGCTGTCCCGGAAGAGGAAGGCTCGCCGGTCCCGAGTGATGTATTTGGAACGGAATGAAGCACGCGATCTCGCCGCGTCTGGAAGGGAACGTGTCCGGTAATTAGAAACTTGTTGGACATGCACAACACGACGATGGTCACCTAAATCAGCCAGTCGAACGACTCCACTTGCCGACAACGCCCTACATGCGAACAGCGCCCGTAGCTTATTTCTAGTGCTGGTCGAGAGAGCCAGAGGCGTACGCGCAGCGCCCGTGAGATGCAATCGCCGTGTCGGAATTTAATGAACATCTGTATCACTTGCATGGATCCAAAGCGAATCACCGAAAACGGTTTGCTTCTATCTGCGGTGCTCTCAGACCGCCGGAGCGGAAAACATGAGTCGACTTCAGGCAAAAAAAAGTAGCCATCCTCGCTCGGGGAACCGGCGAGGAGAAGTCGGAAGCCATGAACGGTGCGCGAAGTCCCGAAATTATGCGGTGCGATTCCGATTCCAGACAGCCTGTCGGGAAGAACCTCGCTTTGACCCACGAAAAAACTCCCGCTATGTACCCGGTGTGCTTCGAGGTGCATCGGGAACCGTCAACGGTGTGATGACGCATGTACGGACGGGAAAAGATCTATGAACAGCTGGTTGCGTTATCGAAGACGCAGGATAGTGAAAAATTGAAAAATTCTCCTCCGCCGGCCGCTTGCCCGCGGACATCATCACGCAACGGAGAAGGAGGAGGGAAGGAACATCAGCACTCGAGGCGCAATCCGACTCCGGATGGTGGCATGAGAAGGGTGAGCAATGAATGTATGTTTGTGTGTGCTGGTCGGCAGCTCTTGAATGAAAAAGTTTCCGCTCTCCTACGTTGCTTGAATGCACGATAAGCTCAAACAAAAACTGCGTGTGCTGGTGGACGCCGAGGTCATCGTTTGTCGGAGCCAGAGTTTGAGTGGTTGGAGCCAGTGAGACAGACAGACGAACAGTCAGAGAGATAGACGTACGAACGAACGGTCACTCGGTCGGTCGTCGCTCGTACAGTCGAACATGGTGAGGGAGAGCGCAAACAAGCGTGTCGTCGCTTCAAAGACAGTCGTGTTATTCTCAAACGTTAGTGGCTGCTGCCAACAGCACTCTCGTGTCACCTTTCCGCTGGAGTATAAGATGTCTTTGTAGGACTCGACGTCGGCGAAGCCAGCTCGTCAACCAGTCCCTTCACTCCGCTACACATCCACGTTTTAAAACTGAAAGTCACCATTTTTTTGACAATCATGCTCCAAGTCTGCATCGAGTTGATCGAGCTAATCGATCGACCTAATCGATTTCCCGAGTTTCGATAACATCCCCCGTGTCTTGTCTTGAGGCATGTCTGGCGACATTGAGACAGAATTGAGCTACGTTCCTCATCCATCTGATTAATTATTCGGTTCGACGAGCTCAATTATCTTTTGATTCCTCAAAATGCAGCAGCACATTACTCCTGTGGGAAAATCGTTACCGATGGTCTGTCGCGCCGAGAAGAGAACTCGATTGACGGGAATCATCGATCGAACTTACCCAGATAGTGAGCTCAAGGTTCCCAGGCACAGCTTCACTTTGACCTCGTAATCGACCACGATTCCGAAAAGATTCTTTCGCTGCTCCTCAGAAAAACTGAAATCGAAGAAATGCGAGATGAGAATCGAGGTGGGCTCCATGCCAGACGAATCATCACCAGTTGGAGCGACTCCTCCCTGCTCCAGAGGGCAATGTATGTTACAGCCAGAATGATTTGGGAGTCAAGGCACGTAGCATCCGAGGTGGCTGGCCGCCTGGCCGCCTGCCTGTCTGTCTGCCGGGCTCATTGGCAGAGCGGAGGAGTTGCTTTCGTATATAGCTCGGTCCCGTACGATGCCCCTATACGGATGCGACAGTGTTGACGAGCCGGATCTATGAGGGTCTATGCTTCTATCCACTACAATACGCTTGTAGCGTATCAGAGCTTCGTATCTGTTCCGTCCCAGCGGACCGATCCGACGCCGCGAGGCAATTGGTTTCCGAGACCGTAATCAGCTATAAATGATGTTCCTCCGCGTACCATCAATCCGGAATGTCGTTCAGATCTCGACAGTGTGATACGGGACTGAGGATTGCAAGTTTCTCTTCCTTCTCTCCTTGATCGCTCCTCTCCGGCAGCATCCGGAGACGCTTCTTGAGCCTGTAGCTCGGCGTTCAATTAGCGAAGTTGGGTCGTCCGGGATACATAGCAGCATCTACGGCGTTCTTCCGGAGAGATGGGAAGCCATACTCGGTCCCCGTATGGTTTGCATTGGGTGTCCGTGGGTGTACTGATCCTCGAAGGCCCTCTTCTCCTCGGCCCTGGGTTTGCGTTCGGCGTCCGCGGGTCTACTGTTGGAACCAGCCAACTGCGTCATCCGGAGCAACGATCTTCGTTCCTTCTCGGTCCGAGCGAGTGTGAACATGGTGCGCCTCTGGCGTCGTTCACAGTTCCTCGTCGATGCGCTAGCAGTGGTTGCGGCTGTGCAAGGGGTCGACAATGACACGCCCCCGACATGCGTTAGGCTTCCACTCTTACGCTCATAAACGTCGTGAATTCGCGTGTTCAGCCTTTCGAAGAATCGATAGAGTATCCGGGCACTTCATTCTTCCGCGAGCTTTTCGCTTCAGCCTGCGACTGTGAGAAACCTCTCGCAGCGTAGCGGAATATTCCCTTGAATAGCGTTCGCCATGACCGCGAGCGAATTCATTAGCTTATCTCACAGAACGAACTCGTCTGCGACACCGGAATCCCGGAGGGACTGCTGCGTCCGTCTCTTTCCCCTAGGGAATTTCCATCCCCCGTTCTCGAAGTGTTTTGTGGCGGACACTCCGACCAGGAATCAATGTCGGAAGGTCCATGTCTCAAAACACAAAACGTAATGCCTTGTCGGAGGAGTGACAGCGAGCTCCCGCAGCGACACCGGTCAATCCGAATGTAAGACTTACATCGTCGACGACGCCAAGCAGTCTGGATCGGGCCCACTCCGGCTTTGGACGAAAACACCGTACTTGTGTTTGTTGTCGCCGACTTTTGGCAAAAGCACAACCTCCTGTTCAATGGAGTTCCCCGAGGTGATGGGACAATCGTTCCTGCGGAAAGATGAAAATATCGAATCCATAGGAGAGAATTTTCGAATAACATCCGGTCATCTTTGCGATTCTTCCCCGTGGGTAGCTTATTGCTGACGGCGCGGCCATACGGCTGTAGATCAACGCAGTACGTACCGGTTGTTTGTCGTAGCTACGCAAACCTTCCACTTGCCGGTCGAAAACAAACAGATGTCCGCTACTTGTAGCACCGAAACCTTGACGTGCTTTATTGTTTTGTGCGATGAGTTATTGACATGGATCTTGACTCGTATCTCCTCCCCGTGTTCGTAGAGCTGCAGGGAAAAACAGCTCTGTGAGACCGGCTCTTCTTATCTGCACTCGGAGTGATCCGGGGAAACCGCGGGCTCCTCGGGGAGATTTTCCCGGGACGCGATATAAAGCTCGCTACACGTAGCTGACGATGTGGGCTCTACGGGAAGCATCAACAATACGTCCATCGAGATAGACTCGTCCGTCGGGGATCCGGACTCGGGACCAGCGCTCACCGACTTGTTGAGAGTGGCTCCGAGCGACAAGGTGCCTCCGTTAAGGGGAAATTCCTTCAGGATCGTTCCCTTGGGCAGGTCCTCGTTCTGATTGTCCATGAGACTCCTGGCTAGGGAAGCGTACTGCACCTGAGAGGCAAAGGAAGATATACGAATCATGTCACAAGCAGTTACGTGCACTAGGCCTTTTTTTCATCATCGGCTCGGGTCTCGTCCAGCGAAAACGCCGGCCAACAGTTTCCCGGAGCAACGGAGACGGCTTTGACCGCGATCATTCCGAGAGAGATTCTCCGTGCGATCGATTCTGCTTTTCAGCTGACCACGGCGAGGTACGAGCGGCCATGGCAGACGGGACACGACAATCCGCGGGGTATGTGATCAGTGATCAATAAAAAGATTTTCTCGCAACGAATCCGGCGAGAAGCTTCGTTCCATCAAGATGTCAGTCATGGCGAGCGGCTTTGGCTTTTCTCAGCAGTCTCTGATCGTAGTTATACGTGAAGTTTGGCACAGAGTTGGGTGAGTGACTTGCCGGCGGACCGACTTGCGCCTCCGCCTTATATGGCAGCGGACCTGCTCCGAAGTCTACTGCGCATTTCGGGTCCGGAGTCCGACCCGGCTATCCGATGGATCATCCCGGTCCGGTACGGACTGAACACGCGGCGATGTTTATGGTGATACGAGTTTTTCCCGAGGAAGAGCAAACACCTGCTACGAGATGACCCGAGTTCATGGCCTGAGCGCTCCCGCTTACCTTTTTTATAGGGAAGTTCAGAAGACTGATGGTTGTCTGCTGCTCCTCGGCCTCGAGTGAAGTATAACATCGCACGTAATACCTCACTCCACACGTGTCTCCAGACTCGGGCGTGAGGCGTTGCATCACCATCGAAATCGGGGCATCTTCCGGAAACTCGAAGCGGAAAGGCACCGACTCGGCCGGGAGGAACGGCAATGTATTATCGTGGAACGGAGATAACTGAATCGAGTACGACGAACGTAGTAGCTCCTCGCTAAGCGACTTCTGCGACTGAACGACGGATCGAGTTCCTGCAAGGGCACAGGGCAAGAAAAATCTCGTGAGCGGCAGAAGATCAATGACATCGACAACAAGAGGGGGAGAACGTTCATTTTCGTCTCTACTAGCGAGCGAATTCTCGGAGAGAGGGGGAGCAAAGGGTTGCGAAGCAGACGCCCTGAGAGTTCCGATTTTTGCGAGCGGGTACCGAGAGGACATTTAGAAAAAAAACGGGTTTCCAATCCCGGAAGGAGGCTCGATTGGCGATCTCGCGGAGATTGCATTTGCGCGCAGCTCGGGGTAATGAGGTTCAAACGGAAGGCAAGGAACGGAACGTTTACGGAGGCAACTCAAATCGCAGGTATTGTTCTCGACGATGTCGACTTGGAAGCGGCGCGCCGAATGTATGGGACGTCTGCGTCCCGCAGGAGCAAGTTGGCTAGCCATCCACAGAGATACTCACCCGACGAAGGACCCGGAAGCGGCTCGATTTTATCTTGTGGGTTGCCGTTGCTGCCCGCTGACCCTTGGGGGCTGAGCATACGTTTTATGGAGCACACTGGCATATACCCCATGTATATCTCTCTGCACAGCGACATCCCGAGGATTTCGTCTTCTTCGCGACCGTAGCGGAACCTACCGACGAGAGCAATGTACACTTTCTCTCCGGGTTCCAGTTTGGTTTCATCGTACGTGACAATTCCTTCTGCAGATGGCAGCAAGTTGGTGCCGGAAGGGACGCCAGTGGTGATGGCAGAAGGGAGGCACAAGTAGGAGAGAAAAAGAAGATGTCATTTATGTATTCAACAAGGCACACCGGTCCGGAATTCCGCACTCCAGGCTTGCGCTAAGCTACGGCCGCCACCGCAGACCGGCCCCGATAAGAGCTGCACGGGAAAAACGTACTTCGAACACTGCGCACGTCCCGAGAGAAACAAGGTGTTCGTGCTCAACTCGTGAGAGGTACTTGGCAGCCCGGTGGAAGCTCCCGTGGATTTACATGAAAACTCTCGTATTACAGCAATTGTTGAGAAGCACACTTACCGACCGGTTCAGTGAGACATCCAAGATCTTCAAACTCGATTTTTGGCATGTAAACGGTTACCTATGAGAGAAAGAAAAAAACGGAATCCTGGTCAAATAACACGGCTGATGAGGTACTAATCGCGCGTCTGATGAGATCATTAGGGAAGACGACGATTCTCTCAAATATGCTCATATTTTCATGTAGTAAAAACTGAATCCAGATGGATCATTTCGGAAATTCTGTGTCAGGAGTCAGTCAGGAGAGCCTGGTAATGGAGTCCCGCTGGGACTCCCGGGCGAACACGTTGACAGAATATGCCGTGCAGAGTAACAAGGATGGGGAAGTTCATTAGACGTGAGCGGATGTATCGCATCGGGTAAACGCCGAAAACGTCTCATCCAAGAGCAAACTGGATCCGATGAGCGAGAAGCTATAGCGGAGCCCGGAGGCACCTGGATCAATTTCCTCGGGATTCTGAGGTAGTTCCGGTAAACAATCATCATCGGTCGAGAGTGTGAAGACGTTCCAGGAAAATTTCGATGTGATCGATTGTTTTGATTCGGATTAGAATCACTACCGAGTTTCTCTTTGGAACGAAGTCAGCCCCAATCCCATCCCCTCGAGAATCGGAATCGCTCTCCAAGGAGGAATGAGGGATGATTCATTAGTCGACGGATGTTCCTCGGCCATGAAGCTCCAGAAGCTTTCCCCCTGATACTTCGCATTTTCGCGGATAGAACATTGTCCCGAGCTGCACGGTTCCCCTAACAGCTTTGAAGACGGGGAGGTGCGCGGATTCCATAATCTCCATACGCGGGAAGCCCGTTTGTTTGATCTGCGCTTAGCCGTCGAGGGCAATCCTCATGACTGCACGCTTCCAGCGATGTCCTCGAACTTGGCTGTCCGAACACCCTATTCATTCTCGGAGGCTACTTAGCCGAGGTGACGACCCCGAAAACTCGTAGAGGAACGCATGGAACGACAGAACTGCGAGGTCAGAACGCACTGATCTCAACGACTTTTGATCGCGGTATTCGACAACCTCGTTTTTGCGAGACGAGACCGAGAAGCGCACTCAGCAATCGAGTGTAGCGTTGGCATTCCCCGAAATTCCTCGGAATGACTTCCAGGAAGCGACTCGGCTCAAAGTCGATCCCTCGCCAGCTCTTTCGACCATTTGGAGCCGTACCACCAGATCTCCCGACCATCTCGTCCAACGAGGCGATGTATCTTGCTCTCTCCCGAAGCAGCCGTATTTTATCGATCTATTTGACAGGGAGCTCCTGTCCTTTAAACGCCACATCTCCGAGTAGAGACCAGCATCACACTGACTCGCAGCCGGACCATGTCCGGCAAATGTTTCCCCTCCATCGGGGCTGAGCAACATCTCGACAGGCACCGATATTCGGAAAACATCGCAACATGCGAGCTCTGGGATCCGATTCACGGGGACAAGGCTTCCGCAGATGCTCTCGCTCAGCTCGCGGCGGTAGACTGCATGACGGAGCCTCATTCCGACATATCAATCATGGAAAACACAGCCGAAACCACTCCCAAACGTGTCGCAGCGGCGTCTGCGTTTCATTGTCGCCGTCGTGAGCTAGAGGAATCCACAGTCCAGAGACAAGCGCGGATTTCCCTGCTTTTCCCCAGCGCTAAGAAGGAAAACCACCTAACCATCGATCCTCCGGGAATTCGCTCCTGAGCGGTTTGGGATGTTTTCATTTGCGGACGGAGAGAGTATTCGAACGTCCTCCTCTGGGTCAAGATATGACTGTGCGGCTATGAGACTTTTTCTAAGGGCATTTATTTCGGATACGGAATGTTATTGAAAGGAATTCACGTCCCCGAAAGCGCCAGCGTTTGTTGCTTCGTCATCTAGAGTCTAGATGAGCTCATTTTAAATGAAATGTCCAGTAATCGCTGGGGCCTACGCTCTTCCGCGCGATAGAGGATCCGAAAGCAAGTCCGATTCTTCAAATACGACATCGGCTCTCAAAATGATCACCGGCATTCCCTAAGCGTGTGCGGAAACCTCGTATCCTAGCAAGGGATGGTCGGTAGCGCCCCGGCGATGGAGGCTACAGCGTGTGTCAACGGTGTCTGGAGCTTGAAACAGATGACCGGCCCCGAAGCTAGAGCATCATGAGCGAGACTCGTTGCGAGGGGCCATAGCCCCCGACGAGCCCAGCTGCAGACGTCTCTCGGAAGGATCGACCCGTTTCCCGTCCCGAGCAGCTTATTCGAGAATTATTCATCTCTGGTTATCGCTATCCGTCGAGCATTGTCGAGAGGAGAAATCCGATCATGGTCGATTTGCCGACGCGTTGGGCGAGCGTTGTCACAGGTGTGACGGATACGGCAGAGATTGAGGTGTTTTCGTCGGCACTGCTAAGCTCCAGTTCCGCCCCCTCCACGGAATCTCGCATGCCTCTCCAGAGTCAGACGAAGCTCCTGGTCTCTACCGTGACACTTCCTGGAGAAGCCGGAGTGGAGCTCGAAAGCCTATTTCGAGGAACACTAGACGCCAGGGATCACGAGCTGAGGCAAATACAACGCAAAGAGGAAGACCGAAACAGGACGATCCCGACCTTGAATGAAGACGAGAGACTCCCCCAATATCAGCTATGTCCCGGAAGATGCCCTCAATCCTGCCTGGCTTGAGGCTTCGACCGATTATCCTGAAGGGAGGAGTCAGCATTAGACGGAGCCCGAGGAGAAGGATCTCCTTAAAGATAGCGATTTCGAATCCGTGAAGGATGCCGTGGTCTCCCCGAGAAGGAAACGAATGGTGGTGAATCCAAAGTTGGACACTTCGCACGCCGAGCGGGACAGCAGCCAGAGCAGAACAGAGTTCTTGCAGAACGCTCGAAATGACAGGCCGAACTCCGCGGACTGGAACCCCTTAGCATGCGGCGCGTAAAAGTGAAGAGTCGTGACTCGACAGAAAAGGAATCGTAGCTCATCGCCCCTCCTCCCTCGATGACCAGTACAGGTGGCAAGCGGGAGGCGCGAAATTAGAAGCCCGAATTAGCCTCCGGGCTCCAGCGATCGACACGTCGCTGGTGAGCATCCGGCGGTCATCGGCGACTGATTCTCTAGCTACTCCACGCGAGGCCCGAAATATGAATGCTATCTCCCTCTAATCGTGGCTAGTTTTCGATCCAGATTGGTCGATAACGGCCCGTCCCTCAGTGGGACATACGAGGCGAGACGCACAAAGCCCGTCAATGGGAGGCTCACTCCGAGGGCTGGAAGAAGGTAAAGGCTGAATACCTTGCCCGTCGAAATTTCGGCCTGGGTTGCGACTTGCGATAAATAAGACTTCGTTGATCCCCCTTTTCAGTTCTCTGACACGGCTGGAGCCTCGGGAGCCCGATTTCGCCAAATTGAATCGAAGAATGGAGACATGAGCCGGATGAGGAAGCTCGTCCACTCAAACATCGCCACGTCACCTGGAGATAACGCTCCTGGCAACGGAGTCAGTATACACTCCATCACTTGACTTCTGCTAACCTCTGCTGCGACAGCCGATTCATGCCTTCGGCTGATCATTGTCAGATCGATCCGCAGGCGAGAAACGCCCGACGCTGTAGAGCACGGAGGCTGGCATGCTTACGAGAACCTTCCCTATACGTAACTGTAAGACTACGAGTCGGTGACGGACGTAATTCTGTCCAGCGGGTTCGTGTCTGGCCGTAATGTAAGAGTAAGCATTAGCTTAATATTTTCCGTCGTCTCGTAAGTGCAGTCGATTTCTCTTATGCGGCACGCTCGCCTACGGAATAGAAAGACTCGTTCCATAACAGCTGGCGGAAAATCCGCAGCAGAAACGATCACAATGAGATCGGTGTTCATCCGACGCAACAGCCGGCTGATATTCAATCTCGGCCCGAAGCTCCTCCGACTTCAGATTGTTTGTTACTCACTGACGCTCTTTCTTCCTCCACTTTAATATCACACCCATAACCCACGGAGTTTTCCGGACTTTGCTCGATGCTTCCGTTCCGGCGATACGAGGGTCACTTACTCAGCTCTTTTCCGCATTCCCCGCTGGGCTCGGAGCTGACCCGCATCGAGAGTCCAAAACACTTTCTGCAGGAGCCCTGCCCTCTGAACAGTTGATTCATCAACGATGAGATTAACTAACGGCTTAGCTGGCCGCTCCCACTGATGAAACGAACGACCGGTCTTCCGGTCCGCGAAGCTTCCGTACTGGCGAGCAAGCTACAAAAACTCAGGAAATGGGAAGAGAGGAGGAGAATCATTTCAGCTCATTTGAATTCTCTTCAATTTCTCCACATGCGGAGACCGGAGCCGGTATACGCCCAATGTCGGTGATTCTGCTTCGCGGGAGAATGTTTCCCCGATGACGCACCCGGAGTACCGCCGGTACGTGCGTGGGTTGAGACCGGAATACGGGACCATGCTCTCGATGGTGCTCACCAGCATGCCCGCGCAGGTAGCGTCAATATAGTTTAGCCGATAGCCGACCGCTCGAGTTTTCCCGCACTCATGGAAGAGATAAGCCAGAATGTTGGCTCCGCGTTTTATGAAATGCTTCCCCCGCCCGCGCCGCTGGGCATGTTCAGCCGTGCGCCGAGTCGTCCGGCACTGCCGCTCGTTGCGACAAATTCACTCCAGTTTACGGCCCATAACTCGACGCTGCTTTAATGTTACGCACGTTCGAGCCAGAGACGCACAGACATCTAACCGAGTGCCAACCACTCGGCCGACCGACCAACCAATCGAGCCACCGACGACGCCGACGGCTCTCGCCTCTAATTAAAGCGCGCGCGCGCGCGAGTTTACGGCGAGATCAGCAGGCCCTGGTTATCCCTGGTTGATGACAACGGGGGAAGCCTGTAGCCTATAACTTACATTATTTGGGCGTGCCCCGATTGAAGATTTAGGGGCGGATGACGACGGCCGCCGCCGGCTGCGAAAATGGATGCCGATCCGCTACAGCGTGAGTTCCCGATCGGCGATCCGAATGCGGTTTCGCGAATCATTCAGAGACCGAGCGCAAACCCGATATCGGTGGAAAACATAGTGTTCCTCCTTCGCCATTCTCGCTCCAGCACGAAACGTTCCACAAACGCCTGTTCGAAGCTCAAATATTACCGTCGACGCTCTCCGCGAGGGGTCGATCGAAGAAAAGATGGAAGGGGCTTGTTTCGGAATCATTCTTTTCGTATCCCATGCCCCTGGAATAAAGCCCTTCGATCAAGATCCACGGGAAATAGACGAAGACCATGAGGCGAGAAATCGAAGACTTGAGCTCTTTTTCTTGCGAATCGGGCGTTTCCTATTCTCCCTTCTCGCTTCCTGGCGGCCAGAGACGCAGAGACTCCGTGGGACTTGTACGACCTAACGCATCGATCCAGCCCTGCCGGCTCGCTGTCGTCCAGCTGTTCCTCCGAGGGCTCCCCGACAGCGCCGATTCCATGCTGGGATCTGGTCCCGCAGCCGAGGATTCCCGGGTGTGTTTTTCTTCGGAAAAATAAACTTTCCACGCTAAAGTATTCTCTTCGCAGAATACTCCAGCGACGTCTACTACGAACGCGTGGTTCCTCGCTGCTCACTCTCGCCAGGCTCTTCTTAACGAGGCTCGGGAAGCGAAACGGAGCTCATCGCTCTCCGATTCCTTTCTCCCCGTAACAACGCGTGGTGCCGGGTCGGGACCGATCCGCTGCGTTCATTTTTCTCTTTGTTTTGATACAGCAGGAAAATTTACAAGGCAGCGTACGGCATGCAGCGAGTTTCTCCAACAATCTGTCACTTTGAAAATCAGTGGTTTCTCTCGATCCGGGAGAAAATCGATTCCACGGAGCCCCTGTGCGTGGGCAATCGTTCCACGTTCCACTCGGTCCAGCCCTCCATCTCGTTTCCTGATCCGCTGGCGAACGAGTTCCGTGCGAACACGATTTTCAATTTCAGCAGCCAGCTCGTCTAGATGCGTTGGTCTCTTATTTGCTCGTCGGCTGACCGCAGCTCAGTGCGACCGACGCCGACGGTAGCTACCGCATCGCGGACGAGGAGAGTGCTCGAATATTTCGACAAGATTTATGGGGAAGTACACGCCCGCATCGTAGTTCCTTCACACTGCTCGGATCTAGATTATGCTTCATGTGTCTTCATCGAGTAGGACCAGTCGAGGGAACTCGTTGTTCGAAGTCCGATGGATGAGCGGGCTTCCCGATCGCTTCCGCGAATCAGAGTTCATTCTCGCAAATCCTCGCTCCGGGATGCATTCTCGGAGCAAGTCCGGCACGGGGAAGGAAATGCGACGGAGCCCGTACCGGCATTCGATCCGATCAGCCGGCGTCGAAACAACGTGAGCTGTCGTCTGATTCGTGCCAGCGGATAAGTCGCATGCGATCCGGAAAAGATATGGGAGGAATAGGTGAATTCGGAGGAATTTGGCGCGTTGCGGCGAAATATTCAATTTATTCCCCTCCCCCCCCTCTGCCCGACAGTGCGCACACGGCGACCGAGAGCAAGGGGCTCGGAGAGGTTCCAACACGTGTTTGAAATATATTTATGAGCTAGGTGCGACAAGCGCCTGCTCGAGATGGCACGCACTTAGAGAAATGCAAACCAGGACAACATCAATCATTTCGAAGTCAAGCACCGCTCTCCTCTCTCCCTGAATTCGCGGCTGTGTAGTATTTTCTTTCGCACAGTACGTCGAGCAGAAACTCCGAACCATGCAAAGTCTGCGCAGAGTTCGGAAGGTTCTGCATTTTTGAATTGGACGTTCCCATCAGGATTTAGATACACCGGATAATGGCGATGTTGTCAGTCGGCTTGCACCCGGGGAACATCGGGGAATCCGAACCAGCGTTCGGGCACGTTTGTGCAAGCAACGTGGCTGCGACTCCTGCCGTGTCAGGCGGAGCTTCTAGGTCTCTACCGGTGCAGCTTAGCTGATACGCCTGCCGAGGGTGGAAAAGAAGAAGGAGGGAGGAGCAGCATCGCGGTAACTCAATCCAGAAGAGAAACTGTGTATACCGTTAGGGGACGAATCGAGAACGGAGGAACGCCCAGAAAGTCTGCCCGAAACCTCACTCTGGGGAACCGATCTCCTCATGTTAGAATCCTCCGCATCAGCAATCAGGGAATCATCAAATGATTACTCTGAAGACTCCACCGACCAATCAGCGGGAAGTGGGTTCTGTACTTGATACCCGGCTGGTCTCTGGCTCACGACTCGAGCCGGCCCACGCAATAACTGACATTTGGATCCGAAGACACAACTCCGGAGCGTCGCGACTTTTGACCTCGAACAGAGAAATGGATGACAATTGTGAGGAGCGCCACGTACTTAAGAACAGATCTGGGGGGATCTCCGGGAAGCGCCGAATTACGGAGAGGGAAATCGAAAGAGACACCGAGAGAGGCGCACGGCCGCGAGATATCGCGTCGAGTCAGCGTCTTTTCTTCGAGCGAAGTTAACAAAAATCTTGACGCTACCACGCTCGTCCGCCGTAATTCATATCTGGCTGAGGACCGTAGAAGCACAATCATTTGAGCACGAGAATATGGGCCAAGCAACTCACCTTGTTGTTCGCCGAGGTTTTCCTCAAGAGGACGGTGTCGCCGAGCTGGATCGGCTCGACATCTTCAGTTTCCTCTTTGGGGACCTGAAGCGGCGCCACCTGTTTGAGGTCTTTGATTTTTGAAGTTTTCTGAGTCATCTTCAAGGTGAGCTGACTGCAGATTTTCTTGACGACGTCAATGAATCGGTGCCTGAGCAAGACTGTGGACTCCGAGGAAGAGCTATCGCTTGAGGAGCTTGATTGGCGAGGACATGGCGACGGGAGGGACTCGATTACAGCGATCTCTTCATTGAAAACCATCAGACAGACATCGATCGTTTGTTCTCGTCCAGAGTTTGTTCGCCTGAAACGGAACAAATCAATTAACGGTTAGCCTCTGATTCCCTGGAGCTTTCATTGTGCCGGCTTCGCTCCCCCGCCCGCTCCCTGGGACGAGCTCGTTCTTTTGAGCTTTGTCGAACTTCCGTTTTCAAAAGCTGAATGGAAAGAAGATAATTCAGCTTCATCTTTCTAATAATAATTGCTTCAGAGAACGATCCGTATCTGCGCCCCCACGGGAATCGCAAGGCAGGAGATTATGCCGCAGAGGTCTTTTCCCTTGAGGAACGCGTGACGGAATGCAGAACAGTTCGGATGGCATGACCCTCTCGAACTCTGATCCTCAGTGCGGTATGATCTTCTGAGTTCGGAAATGAGCAGGAAAGTTGGAGGAGTTCGCTCGGCAGGAACGACTTACCTATGTTTACAATTTGCTCGCGTTTCAGATTCAAAACTGACCAAAATGGGACCGCGCGTTTGCGATGCAAAAGCGGCTAAGCTGCTCGACTCAAACTCTCTGGACTTCCACCCATGGCAGTCTTCCTACTGCGCTCCTCGACGCCGCCGGATTTGACTTTACGCGGGAGTGACTTTTTTTCCATTCATGCGAACGGATTCGACTCAATCTCTTTCCTTGAGCTCTTCCAAGGCTTCGAGCAACGGCAATCGCTCCCTATCACCGTGTGATTTTCCCGATCTGGTTTTCCAGGGATGGGAATCGAATATGCTCGGGCTCTGAGTAAGATGAATCCCTCCACTAAGTCTCCGTCATGCGCGGGTTCTCAGCGGATGAGGATTCCTCGCATGAATCCACAATGCTGTTCGCTCCACATCGACAAATCCGACCATCCTGGTTTCCTTCCACCCTCAGGTAATTAGCATAAGATAATGGAAACCGTCTCTTCGCGAGCGGTTGCGATAGTCTGAAGTATCTGCGAACCCGTTCAATATCCTCGTAGATTAGCTTCCAGGTCAAGCCAAGGCTCCGTGAGCCGTCTGGTTTGTCGCGAGCATTTCATCATCATGAAGGCCTGGCCTGTATGAACGGCTGAACGATATGGATCGTCGGATTCGAGGAATTTCGTGTCGATCTTTTGGTCGGTGTGGACGATGATTCGGACGACCGCTCCCAACCTTGATCAAAACGCGGATGATGCATCCTTGAGCGATGTATCAAACATCTTGTGTTAGCTCGATCTGATACATCTCTTGAACATTGACTGAATTCCTCCGATCGACAATGGACAGCGTGCATTCGGCGTAGGGCCTCGTAGTCCAGGGGATTTCACCCGTTCAACATCATTCTCGAGGAAATATCGGTGGGCAACGATGACGCAGACAACTAAGGGCGCTGAGTTCGCGAGAAGTTTGACCCGGAACACTAAACTCACACGTCAATCGACCCGGATGCGAGTGATTCTCATGGAGCTGCTAGCTCCCGGCGCCGCTTTCGTCCGAGTCGGTGAAGATGCCATCTCTGGATCTCTCGTTCTGGCCCGCTTTATGTGTAAACCCTTCCGGCTTCTTTCTCGCAGTCAAAACCGTTGCAGGCTCTGAACGTCCGCTTTCGCCACTTTTTTTCCTTTTTGGGCAGAGAGGAAATTGCGTTCCTGTCCGCGCGGCGGAAGAGAAAAACTAAACCGCTGTCAAAGTCTTCAGAAGTCTCCCTTGTCCTCATGTTCTCTGTCTTGGCTCAGTTTTCCTTTCCGTTCCCTGCCCGTCGAGCTGGTGGTTCCCACTCTCCGAACTCTGCCAGTTCCTTCTACGACTAGATTGACGTCATGCGGCAGGTGGGCTCGTCGTTATTCCGTTTCGTCACATTTTCGGTTTGTCCCCCTTTGAGCGAGTCTCTGCGAAACAAGTAAAATTTGTAATTCTCCCAGGCTATCATGGAACAGGAGCTCTCTGTGTGGCTCGGTCTTTCTCCTACTCTTGTTTCGCTTGCGTGTACCGGGTACCGGGCTCGTTTCGCGGTACGATGTCCGCCGCGCAGAAACCTTTGACAACTCCCGTTTGGGGCGAGAGCCGATTTCAACGGATTCTTTTATCACTCGAATGGCTCCAGGGGATGGAACATCACTTTACTTGCGTTCGCCGTGCGTCGACTGCGCTGCAGATTCTCCGAAAACGCTCTTCATTTTCGTCGTTGTAGTCGCTACTGTTGTCGTTGACCGGCAACGAGATCCCGGATCGTTGATATGGGCTGACTGAGTACCCGGAAGAACATCATTACTTACTGCCGTGTTTCGCCTTATTCGCTTGGATTCCTCCCTCTCTTGCATTCTGCGATCCTATCGCTCTTCCGATACCCTCATTCACCGCTATCTGCCTTCCTCCTTATGCTCGTGCTCCGTTGACAATTCCTTCTGTACGTCTGGCGTGAGCGTGGCATCGGAATTTCGCTGCCAACGCTCGTCGTTCACCCGGAAAAAAAGACGATCTCTGGTGCTATTCTATCGCGACCCAGCCGTCTGATACGATCCACGTCGTTCTGTTCGAACCTTCGCACCGTACCGTTCTCTGTGTGCGAAGTCTCCGAGAGCACAATCAATGGGAGACTCCCCGCGTCGGCGTCGCAATTTCACGTGGATTGACCGAGCCTGTGAGCTACCGTAATTGCATGTCGTCTGTTCTCCGCAAAGATCGATACCGTATCCGTAAAGATGATGGCCGACATCTTCCCGGGCACAAGAATAGAATTGCACATCCGGACACGATGTCCGTCTCGGTGTCGCATGTATCACAGTTGGTCGTACAGGCAATGGACAACGAAAGAGAGAAAGAGCCTGTCGACAGGAAAGTATGTTCCTTCTCGGGACTTTGGTCACAAGAGACCGCAATCAGGTGACGGGGGACGTCGAGAAAATGTGTAATGTCCGCTCCGAAGCCTCGGACTGAGGAGAACAACTGTGCAAACGAGCTTTGAATTCAAGAACAATGAACTACGTGCGGTCCGCATCCGAGCTTCGAACAATATCCGCAGTTCCCCCAGGAACGAATCATCTATCAGGCGGCTCGGGGACCTCTGCATGAGAACGTAAAAAAAACTGCGGAATCGACTACCTTCTCCACGAATCGGGCCCATCGTCAGCAAACTGACGGATTGCTGAGCTTCCGGAGGATGAACGCGTTTATTTTTGCGCCGATCGCATTTCCCTTCAACACCGCGACCCCAAAGCCTGGACGGCCGAACGTACACCTCCGCACCCTTCACGATTCCCTTCTGGATACTCTCCTTCACGAGACTTGAATCATCATCTACGATCCGTAATCCGGAGAACTTCAGAGCAACCATATGGAGGGCGCGACCGGGTCGCCCCTCGGTGAGCCGAGTGTACCAATGAGTTTTTGAACGCTCGTGCTGCGGAAGGAAGATTGGCGACGACAGAAGCGGAGAAGACGGACGCGAGAGAAGAAGCTCATCGACTATTTATAGGTTTTGGAGGATCCTAGTGAGCAGTATTCTATACCGGAGCATCGACGACGCTCCACGGATCTGTTCGCTGAAGTCCGCACGATTCATTATGATTCTGCTCATTGAGCAGTTCAGTGGAAGAATCTTCCGCGATCGACCTTCGTCATCCGATTCGACCGTCTCTGCGATCCGGTTTGATGCTGTGCGACTTTCAGAGTTCAGTAACTCGAATTCAACTCCCTCCCCGTCTGTATCATTGATCGCTAACCAACCAGGGTGTTGAGACAGGGAACTCAATTGGCGAAGGTCATTTTGCTGAAGAATAAATTCCGAATTTTCTTCGAAGCGAGCCTTCCGGGAGATCTCGACCTCGCTTCAGGAGCCTCATGCTACACATTGAGATCCGGATCCATGATGGCGGAGGGAACGATTACCGGAAACAAGCAGTTGAATGATTTTTAACGGTCTGAGGAGCTATCCTTTTCTCAATTGCTGTGTGGAGCAAAATATGATATTCTTCACTGAAAAAGGAAGCTTGGGAATCCCTCGCCGGATCCGACGAATGAGAGAATTTCCCTTTGAGGATTAGGTCGTCGTAGTCGAGCTTGCGCTAAGAATCAAGCGGCTCCGACCGACCAGACTCGCCGCTTGCCTTCGTCGATATACCCGAGTCTGTTAGAGCCTAGCTCGGGGAAAAATCTCTGCCTGGCGGACTCCCAGGAAATTCGCCGAAAATGAGGTGCTCTGAAGGGCAGGTTCAGAAGTGTCAACGCGTTCCTCCTCGCCTGCCGTCGATTCGAGCTCTCCTGTCATTTGTTCTATTAAACCGTCGACCTTGGGGCAGGCCTCGGGCGGACACGGCTTATTCTGGAAAGTAAAAACCAGAGGAACAGCGAATACGAGTCCATTAGGAGCGGCGCTGAACGGAAAGACCGACTGACTGACGGTTTGACTGACTCTCTGTCAGCTTCTCATGCACCGGGACACGTTTGCCCTCACTCGAGCGAAGAGAGGTGGCTCGGGAGGGCCCCCACCATTTTCCATTCGCTACCTAGCGAGCCTCGGGCCAGCTCGTCAGTTGTATGGCAGTTCAGCCTGGGGTTCAAACACAGGCCTTGTATGCGTTCCAATTTGCGAACGTCAAAACCGCTTCCTTTCCTTCGGCGCGCCCCTCCGCTGAGTCTCAGGTTTCGACTGGAGAATCGCTAGACTCTTCAAGTCTGCGACGTCTGACCGGCAGCTAATATTCCCACTTCTCGATTCCACTATTAATATCGACCATCCAATCCCGATGTGGAGGAACTGGAAAAGGAAAGGGTGTGATGCGGGAACTGGTCGGTGGGAATTCAACGCTAAGGCAATTCTGACCAATGAGATCGCC